AAAGGTCGCACCGCCTCTAGCCTGCTTTCCCCGTCGCTGGTTGCAACCCACTACAGCCTGGGCCTCTACTCCTCCCGCACAGGAGGTAGGGCAATGCTCAGTCCCATTAGTATCTGGCCACTGTAAAAAAAGTATAGGTCAGTCGCACTCAAAGAACTCAACTGTGAGATCAAAGTAACTTACGTACAGACCTAGACGAAAGGGGTAGGGCCTTGAAGCCTCGAGCCACTGGCAATGAGCCCACCGGACAAGGACAACTCATGGGATGCGACCTGCGCCCCCACACGTCGATCGAGGGAGGTCCCGACCCGGTCGGTTCCTGATTGGCCGGCGAGTCGCCGCGACCACTGGCTCGTGGTGCGCTCACCAAAGCAGTTGGCAAGGTGTCCCCCCATTGTGGGTCATGTGCACGCACTGACTCCAAAGACATGGGGGTGCGAGCCCGCTCCTCCGACCACCTGGCCTGCCTCGCCATGCCCGAAGCAGGTGGGGGCAAGGCCGACAATGCCTCCGAAGGGCGTAGCAACCGCGTCCGCTTCGCCTCCCTCTCGCTGGTGGTGCCCGAGCTCGCGGCACGCTTCCTTGGTGTAGGAATGTAGCCATGCCTCTCCACATCCCACCCACTACTGGCAGACGCGGCTGTAGGCTAGTGACTCTCCACTGAGGTCACGACGATGTCCCGGCCTCCTTCATCCTTGGAAGAGCTCATGTCGCCACCCATCTCCGTGGGTTCCTCCAACTCAAGCTCTGCCTCCACATCGCTCCTATTTTCCCTAGCCCGCACGCGCCGGGCGATCTCCATCTCCTTTTGGTGCCTCCTTCGAACCTTCTCAGCTCTATTCTTCTTCTTGTCGTCTGCCAGCTCCTTCAGGGCAGCTTGCCGAGCTACGCCTTTTGGCCCCTCGGAAGATGTGGCCGGGATTTGTAACCAGCAAGTCCCTACGAAGCAGACGACTCGAAGTCAAAATATAGGAGAGCAAAAAGGAAAAACACGGAATAGGGGGAGGGGAGCATACCAGAGTGGATAGTTTTGTCGCATGGAGGGGTCCAAGCTTTCCTTCAAGGGACTCATTAGCCCTCAGCTACAGCACCCGGTCGAGCCGACTCCAGACCTTGTCTTTCACCAACTCCTCCGGCGATGTGCGGTCGGGATTTGTTGGGCCCAAGTAGTTCCACATCGGTTGCCACCTCTCCGCCAGCGGGGCGACTCGATGGAGGAAGCAGGTGTGGAACACCCGCACCCCGTCGAGGTCATGCTGCACCAGCTTCTAGAGCTCCGCCTCGATGACCACCATCTTGTGTTTGTCGACTGGCGGGCCCCCACGACCAACTCTCCCATCTCTCAGGCCTTCTTTCAGTGAACGGCGGGAATGATGCCTCTGCTAGGTTCCTGATGTAGAACCACTCCCCATGCCACTCCCGATTGGAGTCGCAGGGGGAGTATGAGGGGTAGGAGCCCGATGGCCTCAACTTCTTCTACAGGGCAAAACCCCCCACCGGCGCGATCTTAGGTGGCTTTCCCTCTGACAAACCTCGCCCGATGAAGATCCACCGGAAGAGGTCCACGTGCGGCTCCATCCCGAGGAAGGCCTCATAGACGGTGACGAAGCCGGCGACGTGCAGCAACCCAGTCGGATTAAGGTGTTGTAGCTCTAGGCCCCACTCATTGAGGAGCCCACGCAGGAACCAGTGCATGGGGTATCCTCGCCACGCTCATGGAAGGCGAGGAAGGAGACAACCTCGTTGGCCCGAGGTGGCGGAAAAGCCTCCCCCGTAGGAGCCCTCCAGTGCGCCACCTCCTTCGGTGGGAGTAGCCCCTTCTCGGCGAAGGTGGCCAGCATTGCCTCGTCCACATTGGATGGCCTCTAGCTCGACATCATGCTTCAGACTCATGAACAGATCTATGAGTTCTCCTCTCCCTCGCTTTACACTCTCTCACTTAGGAACCGCCGTGGCACATGAACATGCTTGGCGAAAAGGAAGAAGGAGGAGGAGCAGCAGTTGGAGAATAGGCGAAGGATTGGGACAAAAACCCTCTCCCTTCCCCTATTTAAGGAGGAGACGCAACAGTTGAAGAAAGGCGAAGGATTAGGGCAAAAAACCCTCTCCCTTCCCCCATTCAATGCGGATGGGATGCGATGGGACGCATCCTGACTGACAGGATGCCCCTTGCCCGATGAAACGGTGCCTAGTTAGGCGGATGTGGCCTGGGCATGGCCCACCACTACCACACGCCGGGCGCAGGACCTAGAAGGGCCCAACGATGGGATCTCCATCAAGCAGAGACCAACGGGCTTCCTAAGTTGATCGAACGACTTAGGCGAATGCCAAGAGATAGGTAAGGAGTAATGGGATGCCCCATGTGGGCCATGTCATCTCCGTCATGAACGATGAACACGGATCCCATTCGGACATATCCGATAAAAACTCCTCAAACCCGTCACTCGAGCCATCAAGGTAACTCTACCAAACCCTCTTACTTTATTTTCTGATGCATGATCATTCATTCATCCATTCTCATGCACGCATTCACACATTCATTCATACAATCATTCATTCATCCCATACATCCAAAGCATTGCATATGCAGCTAATGCATCACAACGCTTAGTGTTGCGTCATGAAGCGATAGTTGCCTCATTCAACATGAGCAACGACTGACTAGGGTTCAAAGGCTAGCCTGCGAAGGGCTCGAGGTCGCCTCACGTCAAATAGAGCCAGGAGAGAAAACACAGATGAGCCCTAGTGGCCCTTGCCCGGTATGCTCAGAAGTAGACAGGGTCATCTCAACCTTCTCATTCGATCCTAATCTCGAGCCATGCCCATAGAATCTCCATCGAGGGAAGGCCAGCGGGCCACCTGAGTCGGTCTCTGGAATGACTCGAGCATCTGCCAGGAGGTAGGTTAAGGAGCAGTGGAATGCCACATGAGGGCTATGCCAACCCGGTCACAAACGACGGACCCGAATTCCACTCGAACGTGCCCGTTAGTGAGCTCACCGAGCGCGTCACTCGAGCCATCGAGGCAAGCGATGTTAGATCAGCCCCTCTGGTTGTGGAAACCACGGACGGGGTAACACACGAAACTAGACCATCCCCAACCGAGCCCAACAGGGCTCGAGGGCTCAGGTCACCCGACACCGACTCGGGAAATCAATCGACCGTGTAGGTCGTGGCCAGGACAAACACGGACGAACACCCCAAATGGCAGAAACTGTGGCTCTAGGAAAGAGTACCAAGGTATTCAGCCTCCAACCACTCACCAGTCGAACGTAAGCTCGGGGGCTACACCCATCGGGTGCACTCACGTGGACCCACTAGCAAGACGAGACCCCCTAGACGATTCTACCTAAATCACCCGGGGCTCAGGGTCTACACCCACCGGGTGCGCTTGCGCGCACCCGCTGACAAAACAAAAAATCCCCCAGACGATTCCACCTGAATCGCTCGGGCGCTCAGGGGCTCCTGTCGGGTTTATAAACCTGGGGTCCCTAATGGGCCCGCTTCCTAGCAAAGGCCTGACCAAGAACGACGCGCAACTCCTGGGCCAGCCCAAGTGCCTAAACGATAGGCCGGAAGAACGATTCGGTCTCCGACCGAGAGGCCTGACCAAGAAGGGACGGTGCTCGCTTTCGACTCCGACCCGCTTCTCCTATCGGGAGGCCTGGCCTGGAAGAGACAGTGCGCACCTCCGACTCTGACCCGCTTCTCCGATCGGCAGGCCTGGCCAGGGAGGGCGATGCTCACTTCCGACTCCGACCTACTTCTTCGACTGGAAGGCCCGACCAGGGAGGGTTGACGCTCGCTTCTAACTCCGACCGGGAGTACACCAAACCTCTGCTTATAGCTCTTCTCTAACCGCGTCAGTCGGAGCCAACTGGGGAACGACCGACTAGGTACACCCGCTAGGTGAGGACCTAGGAAACGGGCAGAGCAAGTAAGGCAGGGCACTCAAGTCAACCGCAATACCGAGGACCGTACCCTGCACACCTGCAAGATAGTACTGTCAGGGCATGTAAGAAGGGTACTTTATAACCTTCTACACATGTCAGAACATGAACAGTGTTGTGGGCACCAACATTTGTCCTACAGTATGGTAGGCGCCAACGTTTACCATACTAGAAGAACACGATGGAGCCTGCCATAGGCACCTGGGCGTCAATAGTATTGTGGGTGCCGATAGACCATCTTATACCTAATAGTGTGGGCAACAAGACTAGGTATCACACACTCTCTTTCTCTCGCTTGTAAGGCCGCCCCCTTCATCTATAAAAGGGGATGCGCCCTCTCCCCACAAAGACGACTAACAACCAACGGATCATTCTCGATACACTCTCTGCTAGCTTTAGACATTCTAAAGCTACACAGAGCATACGTTCCAATACTTAGCGCACGTAGGAAATCCTGTCACTCTCGGCCCTTCGGTCCAGAGTCCGACCGGACCTCTGATACCCCCATCTTATTCTCACTCATTTGTAACCCCACATCAAACTTCGAGCACCTAGGCTCAGGAATAAAGTCACTGACCGACTCGAACTAGACGTTGGGCACATTGCCTGAACCAGTAAAAACAATGTGTCATTGAGTGCTAGGCCACATCCGATCACAACGTACGATAAAACTACAAATATTTATGTGTTGGTCACTTTTTGTGCCGACACCGGCAGTGTTGAATGCAGTGGCTCTTTGACCCCACAGAGTGATCTTGATTTCAAAGTAGCTGCAAACAAAAACACGATGAACACATGTTCAGAAGGATGGTACGTGATGGAGCAGCGATAGATGGTATCAGGGATAAATGAGCGTAACCTTAGGTCCCTGAGAACAATATGCCTAGAGAGCGTGGGTGTAGGCTTGTTGGGCAGACGCACCGGATAGACATCAGACACCTCCACCAATGTCCCAATTGTATATGCAGTCATATTCCCTTTAAGACAGAGAAATAGAGATAGAATGAATAAATCATGTGTAGGTATGGACTGATCGAGAAAGTTCCTAGTATCACCAGCATGGGAGGTAAGTGCATCTATAGGTTGTTATCTTGTAAGCATATCTTGGGAAGTCAGGCATGTCATCTCTTGCTGCAACAACTGTGGTGTGGAGCGTGAACTCAACCATATAGCGGGCATCAACAGCTCTGTAACCCAACTTTGCGTTGGACACTCTAAAGCGGCTGATCACGAAAATACCGCCCTCTTCTATGAGAGGGCTCTTTGCCTCCACCTCCTGTGTTGGGATCTCACCATACATGCTATTTCCCTACAGCAAAGATCATGTGAGTTGTTAGAATGAGGATACTCAGCATATGGGATACAATGCTGGCTATGTCACACTGAGTGAAAAGTAACAGAAGCATTAGAGATATAGGCAAAGGACAATAGTAGGTAGACAGATCAACCTGCTCATCAACAAGCACAAGATCCATGTGTTGTATCGAACCATCATCAGTTCCACCATGGTATTCCCACTTGTGGCAAACACGCACACGAATGGTTGCACGCCAGTCTCCAGGGCACAGCGAAGGGAGAGTAGCAAAAGCCATAGGAGCACACTACATATATATTATCCAGGGAGAAGTGAATGGAACAATGAATAAGTATAATAGCGAGATGAAAAGGCATAAGAGGCAGGCAACTAACCTGGAAGGCACCCAAAAAGCCAGTCTAGATAACACTGAATGCAGTGACCCACACCCAAAAAAAAGTAGCCAAGCCGTGCCAAAGGGCTCAGCGGAAAGAGAAACCAAAAGAAAAATTTATGGAGTATTTCAGTCAGGAAAAAAAGGTCAACATCATCACTTGGACCACACCAAACCGACATACAAAGCAACCATAGTTAAGGAGAAGACAGTGTAGCCATCATCACAAAAGCCAACATAGCACCAGGGAAGGGAATCTACTAACTATCTGTGGCTGGATAAGCCACCGAGAGTATCTCACGGTAAACAATGTTAGGTGTTTCATGCACACAATCACCATTTGTATTCTCTATGAGTATTTTGAGACCGTGTTTAGAAGTTACACGTGAGATAGCGACATATAATTATCTGTTGACGGTAGTTAACAACCATTATAAATAGTTAATAAAACATGTATAAGGACACAATTGAGATCACCAACAAAGGTCTAGGGGTTTAAACTAATAAATTCCATGAGTTTTGGTGAATCTATAATTTCTGCGGGGTTTATCCAGAAAATCATCAATGTGGACTTAGATGACAAAGTTAATCTCGCTTATCCATAGTGAAACAGACACTAGAAGACTCAAGAGGACTTCACGTCGAGGCAGAGAGCGAGGGGCTGCTAGGTGGGGCCGCTGGGTTCCACCTGCAGGCCGCCCGACCCCTAGGCCCACCTGTCAGCCTCCACGTCATCAAGTCGGTTTCCCACCACCTCCTAGGTTGCATCTAAGCCATTCTTTAAGTCAGTTTGATCCAAGGGCTCACGTTGGACGCTCTGACCTATATATATCAGCCCCTGCCCCCCTGAAGGCATCAAGTCATTTGAGAAGACAGAAACCCTAATCATCCTCAGAGCTCTATCATATTCTAGGGCATAGCTAGTTAGGATAGGTCTAGAGGGAGGCAAGCAGGCTTCGCTTGGATTCCCGATCGTGTCAAGAGCGTGGTTCGGTATAATCTTTGTACCCCCTCTCTCTTTTGTATCTCCATTATTTTTATATGCTTGCTACAATTGTTATGACAATATTAGTATTCGTCTTATTCATATTCATCGTCTACTTTGATTATATACCCATTATAGTTGGATTATCATCATATTCATGCATATGTTCGTATAGCGCTCACCCTAAGGATCCATGGGTGGGTGGTCGACATTGTGTAAGCGTGGTGCTTATATGTTGTTTACCTACGGATACACTCTATATTCCAGGTCATGTGGTAGATCGTGGACATGACACTCCCATTAAGTCCTTTTTAGTCCACTCCTCGATGAAGGTAGCACATAGGTTCTGGTTATGAAGGGGGGCAAGCTCTATTCTTAATCTCTCTTAGTAATATCCCTTATGTGTAGATATGAAGATGATCTTAGCAATGACTATTAGGTGTAATTGCACTAATCAATGTATACTTTGACTTATAATTAAGAACGACTTAGGAATTATTCCTCTAATATTCTACCTGACCATGCTAATGCCATAGAAAGGAGTACTCTGAGTGATTTATCATTATCATTGATCAATACTTAAAGGGTGTACCCAGTGCAGAGAGCTCTCTCTCTCTATGCGGGGTCTGGGGAAGGGTGTTAGTGGCAAGCCTTACCCTCACCTGTGCAATGCAAGGAGACCGCGACTCAAACCTGGGACCTTCCGGTCATAGGCGGTAAGACTCTACCGCTTGCACCAGGCCCGCCCTTCATCATTGATCAATACTTATCATATATATATATATATATATATCTTATCCTATGACTTACCCCTATTTTGAGTAGAATATTGGTTATGGTTTACTTATCTATCAATAGTATAAGTTATCAATACATGTCAATGCTAGACCTTCCCTCTGGTAAAATATAAATAACGATACCTGGAATACTCTCGGGTGAAGTGCTACAATGGTATAATTATCTGTGCGCTTGTAGATTCCTTTTCTTCATATCTATATATTCCTCCTAGTCACATAAATTAATAAAGAACTATTTAGTATTATTATAGTAGTAATACTAGGTAATACCAACAAGTATCTCTAGCATCATCACTAGGGATGACAACCTAGTAAAGTAATGTTAGAAGATATAGGTTTATCATAGGTGGCTATGAAAACAAGTGACAAGTTAATAAATACCAACATTGTCCATGGCTGAAAACAGGGTTCTTTAAGTATACACCAACATGAGATACGGTCTGACCCTAGCTCTTATTAATGGTCATTGCATAGCACACTTTAACAGGAAACTGGCGCCTCTCTACGGTAAAGGGCAACCTTGTATTTTTTAGTGTCAGGCAAATTCTTGGTATGTATACAATGTCACCAGCGTGTGTCCCAGTCATTATCCCGGCCTCTATTAACATATCACCTAGATTTGTGACAACCAACCTTGTCCCATTACATAGTCCACCAGATTGGTCAAGGTTTCTAAACATCATTATTGGCACACCCTTCTTAAGCAGCAAACGATGGTGAGGGAAATTGTTTCCATTTAGAGAATTCAAAAACTCAATGGGGTATAGTAGGTCATAAGAACCATGTGTACCTAGAGACTTAGGGATCTTATCACAGCTTAAGTACTCCCTCTCCCCACCAGGTACCAGGGACACTACATGGGAATTAATGCTATTAGAGGCCTCATTTGTGGGGGTCAAAATTGCTCTACTCTATAGGTAGTGTGGGTCAGAAAATCTAGTAGCTAAATCTGGATAGACAGTATTAACCATACATTGAATCTTATCTTCTTGTGGCATAAGTAGCAGGTCCGGTGATATCTTAATCAGCATTTCCCCGGTCTCGCCATCCTTTATTACACCATCTATCTTATCCTCCCAAACATCTAGGACCCATTTGTTGAACTCAGCAATCTCGTTCTGTTCATCCTGACTCAAATCTGGCCGACTAAGCCTCATGTTTGTAGTCAAGGATAGAAGTTTGACATGTTTCTGTTAGACCTAAAACATGATCTCTAGGCATAGAACTAGCATGTCTATTTGCTTTTGAATAAAACCGTGAGTCCTAGAACATCTACTAGTGCAGTAGCAGTAGATAGAACAAGAGAAAGAGAGGGGTGAAGGGTGCAAACCTTCGGCCGCCTTGGATGAAGATGGGCTCGCCATCGCAATGCTTGGAGATAACCTAGTGGTGGTGTCGAGTCGAAGGGCGGCGGTGCAGTTGCGGTTGCAGGGCAGCCCAACAACGTAGCAGCCCCTCAGTGTAGATGCAGAGGCGGTGGCGGCGTGGCTGGTGGCTTCCCGTCACTAGCTGCGCCCCTCTAGATCAAATTAGGGATTTTGGTGGGGAACTGTAGCTCGGTGAACCTCGTACTCAGAGCCACCGGCCCCCACCTCTATTTATTGCATAGTGTGACAGGGGCCCTCCAGCCATAGTGGGCAGGGCGCCCCCGATCAGGGCGCGTATCAAAGGCCCAACTAGGCCGTTGGGCCCAGTTTGGGATTAGAGATCAATCTAACAATCTCCCCCTTGATCTCCTACCATCTTTCAATTACATATCATTTACTTTTGTTCATTCCATTACAGATTAGCGCATAGAGCATGTTTCATCGTCACGGTCAATTGCTGATAGATTTAACTGCTACAACACACCACTTTGTTCTGAAATATATACTTAACTTTTGGCATTCTTTTGTCTAGGAATTATAGGCTTTCCCTTAAACCCATGCTGGCTACATGTTCTCTGAACACGTTGGGTGGTAAGCCTTTTGTAAGCGGATCCATGAACATCTTTTCGGTAATTATATGCTCAAGACTTATGACATGATCCTGGACTTTATCTTTCACAACATAATACTTTATGTCAATGTGTTTGGTAGCACCACTTGACTTATTGTTGTGAGCATACTGTACTGCCGGATTATTATCGTAGTATAACTTAAGTGGTCTATAGATGTTGTCAACCACCTTCAAACCGGGTATGAACTTCTTTAGCCAGTTCACCTGCCCATCTTTTTGTAGACCCATTTACAGCATACTGTTTTGGCTCCTTTAGGAATTATTTCCAAGTCCTAAACTTTATTGGCATTCATAGATTTCATTTCATCTTCCATGGCCTCAAGCCACATCGATGAATGATCACTTCTCATGGCTTCTTCAAATGAGGTGGGATCATCCTCCATTTGAAATTCCTCAGTGTTGTATACTTCATAGTCAGCAGGAATAGTTGATTTTCTAACTCTTTGACACCTTCTAGGGGCCTCTACATTTGGCACATCTTCTGTTTGAGGATGTTGTTGCTCCCCCTCATGTGTGGCAATAGGTTCTACAGGATCCTAAAGAATAGGTTCCTCATCGTCATTCATTGTTGCCACATGCGAAATAACAATAGGTACTGGCACCATAGTATCTTGCACTGTCGGTGCAGCGACAGCAGGTAGTGAGAAAAATGGCTCATGAATTATCGGAGTGGGCGCATACACCCAAATCTCTTCAAGGTCAATTTCTCGAGCTACCATGCTCCCCCTCATCATTTCATCCTTAGGAAGACAGCGTGTCTCGTTTCCACAAACTTTGTATGTCTATCTGGACAGTAGAAATGAAAACCTTTTGACTTTTTTGGGTAGCCAATGAAATGGCAACTTACTGTTTTAGGATCTAGTTTCCTAATGTTTGGATTAAATACTTTAGCCTCAGCAGGACTTCCCCACACACGTAAGTGGTTTAGTGAGAGTACTCTTCATGTCCACAACTCATACGGTGTTTTGGGCATCGACTTACTTGGTACTCTATTGAGAATATGAATGGCAGTTTTTAACGCCTCCATCCACAGGCTCAATGGTAAGGTGGAGTAACTTATCATACTACGCACCATATCCATTAGGGTACGATTGTGTCTTTCAGCTACTCTATTCTGCTGAGGTTCGCCCAGTGTAGAATACTAGGCTACTATGCCATTCTCCTGTAAGAACCTTGTAAAAGGTCTAGGAACATGGCCATATGGGGTATGCCGACTGTAGTACCCCCTCCCCACGGTCGGACCTGACTATCTTAATCTTTAAATTGTGTTGGTTTTTAACTTCTGCCCTAAATATCTTAAATTTATCCAATGCTTTTGTTCTTTCTTTGATTGGATAAATGTAGCCATAACAGGAGTAATCATCTGTGAATGTTATGAACGAATCATAACCATCCACACTCTTTACAGGAAATGGACCACAGATGTCTGTGTGAATAATCTGTAAAATTCTTGCTCTTCGTTTGACATCTTTCTTAATTTTCTTTACATACTTTCCTTTTATGCATTCTCTGCATTATTCTAAATCTAAGAACTCTAATGGAGGAAGAACATCATTCTTAACTAGTCTTTCTATTCTCCCTCTCGAAATATGGCCTAAACGACAATGCCATAATTTCGACAACGCATCATGGGCTCTCTTTCGTTTTCTGTTTACATCCACAGACGAGGATACATTCTCATTGTCGCACGCAATGTTCCCATCATCGTATACAACATTCACATCATCACGTAGTGATAACAAATAAAGCTCATTTTGTAAGATAGCAAGACCAACACATGCATTATTAAATGTTATCTTACATTTGCCATTTCCAAAATGGCAATCATATCCATCATTGTCCAAGCATGAAACATTAATCAAGTTTCTCTGTAGGGAGGGAACATAAAGTACATCTATAAGTAAAAGTGTGAAACCATCAGCAAGCTCTAGAGAAAGATCGCCAACGGCTTCAACATCTGCTCGGACTCCATTTGCAACTTTAACGTGTCTTTCTCTTCTTTGTGTAGTCCTCGTCGAACGGAATCACTGTAAAGAATTAGCAACATGAACAGTTGCACCTGAGTCAATCCACCAAGTAGATTTTAAATACTATACATACAAGGATTCATTTATGAACGTAATAATGTTCTCACCTTTCTTTGCCATGATCATCTTTAAGTAATCGGGACAATCTTTCTTATAATGTCCTGTCTTCTTGCAATAGAGACACTGGTCTTTCTCTACTATAAACTTGTTCTACTGAGCCTGATGCAGCATGGGACCCTTTCCCTTTGACTTTGAGGAGGAGTTAGCAGTATTATTCTTTTTCTTGTTGTCTTTCACATAATTGATAGTGCCACCATTGGCAGTTTTCATTCTCTCCTCTTGCACACACATAGCCATGAGCCTCTTTAAGTCCCACTTCTCGGGCTGCATGTTGTAGTTGACAACAAAAGTGTCAAATTCCTTTGGCAAGGAAGCAAAAATCAGATGAATAAGGAACTCTTCGTTGAGAGCCAGATCCATTGGTTTTAGCTTAGATGCCAAATTACTCATCCTTAGTATGTGCTCTCTTATGCCACCATTTCCAGAGTACCTCTCTGTCACCAATTGCTTTATCAGCTGTGTAGCATGTCTTTGAAGAACCAATGAACTGACTCTTTATTCTATCAAGGTACTCGGTGGTCGTGTCACACTCTGGGATTGAGCCCACAATTGCAGGCTCAATCGTGTTCTTTATCACAGCCAAACATTTCTTGTTGGCAGTGACCCACTTCCTATGCTCAAGGTCATAGGACATCTTTTGGGATGCAAAATCCCTCTCTAGTTGCCCAAGCGGCATCAGCCTCGTTTGTCTCCCTCACCGGTGCCACAGGCTCAGTGGGACACAGTGAGGTGACTACCCAGTCCACCTCAGCCAAGATGAAGGCCAGGTCAATCTTTTTCTTTCACTCCGTGTAGTTGTCACCTTTGAGAGTGGGGATCTCTTTGATACAACCCATCAAGTTGTATCCATCTAAAAACACAATTCATATAGAGTGAGAACATAAATAACAACAACAATTGCATGCCTTGATTCCAACGTTGGTCAAAATTAAAACATACAACTGTTCTTATACACTAATTCTACATCACCGGTGGGCAGAAACAGAATTAATGCATGAAAAACTTATGATTAAACCTTCTAATATTGCTATTATCAACGTTGGTCACAAAAATAACAATATTATAATTTACTGATTAAAATTGACTACTCTTCAAATTAAATTCTCCCGTTGGTTCAAATTTAATTAGAAGATCATTAACTTTAACATTGCAGCGGAAAAAATAATTCAATTTAATGAATTTTACCCATAGGATAATTCTCTTTTCTATTTACTTTAAGTCATTTATCCATTTTCCAGGAAATAAACATTTACTGGAAAAAGAAAAAGAAAAACTGACTCATTTCTTTACTGTTCCTTCGGCCCAACCAAGAAATCGGCCCAGCCCAGCTCCCTTGCACGCGCGCTGCCCGCACCCAGGCCGCAACCTGGGCCTGGGCCGGCAAAGCCGCGCGGCCGCATGCACCCACCTGGGCCGGCCTTCGGTCCGGTCGATCTCGGCCGCTCATCTACATCGGACGGCTGTCCGGCCGTTTCGACGGAACAAAACACCGGCCGACGCCGCTCCCCCAAACCCTAATCTCATTCTTCACTCTCTGCCTCTCTCTCTCGCTTCGCTCTCTCAGCACCGCGTCGACACCGAGCGAGAGCGAGCGATAACGGCAGAGCCATGGCGCCGTCGCCGGCCCCCTCGCTGGCGTGCGCGCTCCCCAGCGGGTGAGTGTGCCGCCGTCGAGCGGCCTAGCCACGGCGCCCTATGCCAGAGGCCTCGTAGCAACCGTGTCGGTGGGTGTTGTGCCCTAGCGGCAGCGGCGGCTTCTTCTCGCATGCCGACGAGGCGACAGCGCAGTGCACGGCGAGGTAGGGCTCTTCCCCTTCCCCTTTTCTTTCTTTGATTTTCCTTTCTTCTCTTCTCGGATCTATCCGATTTAGGGTTGGGGATGGGATTAGGATCGAGATTAGGGTTTGGTTAGGGTTAGGGTTTGGTGATCCTCTTCTTTTCTCAAATCCGAACAGATCTACTCTGTTTCTTACCCCTGACATGATCTACATCTAGACAGAGGGTTCCGATAGGCTAGATCTACACCTAGTTAGGCTCTGATACCAATGTTAAACCTAAAACATGATCTCTAGGCATAGAATTAGTATGTCTACTTGCTTTTGAATAAAACCGTGAGTTCTAGAACATCTACTAGTGCAGTAGCAGTAGATAGAACAAGAGAAAGAGAGGGGTGAAGGGTGCAAACCTTCGGCCGCCTTGGATAAAGATGGGCTCGCCATTGCAATGCTGGGCGATAGCCCAGTGGCGGTGTCGAGTCGAAGGGCGGCGGTGCAGTAGCGGTTGCAGGGCAGCCCGGCGACGTAGCAACCCCTCGGTGTAGATGCAGAGGCGGTGGCGGCGCGGCTGGTGGCTTCTCGTCACTGGCTGCGCCCCTCTAGATTGGATTAGGGATTTCGGTGGGGAACTGTAGCTCGGCGAACCTCGTACTCAGAGCCGCCGGACCCCACCTCTATTTATTGCGCAGTGTGACAGGGGCCCTCCAGCCATAATGGGTTGGGCGTCTCTAATCAGGGCGCGGATCAAAGGCCCAACTGGGCCGTTGGGCCCAGTTTGGGATTAGATCAATCTAACAGTTTCCACAGCTGGGAATTCACTATTGCAGCATCTACAACCTGTGCCCTACCACCACCCTCAACCACAGGCAGTATCTGACGCAGGTCACCACCCAGCACAACCACCTTACCACCGAAAACCAAACTCCCAGCACCTTCGGTCTGCCGCGAGAGGAGGTCTCTAAATGTTCTATCCAGGGCCTCGTCCCAGATAACAAGCGACGCGGATTCAATCAATTCACCCAGCATAGAACTACGTTTAATGTCACAGACACTACTATCGTCAAGATCACATGGTATCTTGAATCGTGAATGGGCAGTCCTACCACCCGACAACAGGAGGGAAGCAACACCAGAAGAAGCAACAGTGGGGACGATTTTTTTGTGCGCGCGCAGCCATGCAACTATAGCACCCCAAAGGAAAGTTTTCCCGGTACCTCCATAGCCAGACACAAAGAAGAAACCTGGTGCACCGTCTACAACAGTCTCTGTGATTACTCTAAAAGCAGACAACTGTTGCTGGTTCGGTCTAGCAACCAATTCAGTTGCTTCGGACATCAACCGATCAACATCATATGATAGCTCTTCTTCGATAAGTCTATTACCTGAAGCACACTCTGACCTATCGGTTCTCTGGGGTAAATCATGGTCTCTCATTCTCACCCCGTGCTTAGAAAAAAGAGATGAAAGGTCGTCATGCAAATAATTTTTAAGGTCTGTATCAGAAATCTGGTATTCAGTGTTGCCCAGGCTGTCTCTAAAGCGATACTGGATGTCATCAGCTAGAAGTTTCCAAACCTTTTCAAAGAAAGCGTACTCATCACTCACCTCACAGAACAATATCATAGTGACAAAAAAGTTTTCTAAGCTGTGAGGATGTTGCCCAGGCAGCAGCCTCATCAAAAGCATCGTACCACTCTTTATCGTCGCCAAGCAAGCCACGGGCATTGCACGCCAGTCTGAATGTAGAGTATAGAACACCGTTGTACCTTCTGACATCTTCGTAGTTCTAGTCGCCTCTGACCACAAGGAGTAGCATCCTAAGGAAATATCTCTCACCAGCAGAGGGGTGAACATAGTAAATCCTACCAATCTTGCCAGTACCTCGCCGTCTACGTTCCCAGGACCTAGAAGAAGTCTCCCATCTCCATTTGGATGGGAACTCACAATAGATAAGATCCCTGCCACTACGATCGTTTTGGTTAGCCACGAACCATTCGGTGAGCATCGTCCTGCGCAAAAACTCTTCAGAGGCAACACTGGCTATGTCAGTATTTGTGTCGTAGACTATACAGTTGTCATCAGGATGATGTACAGGCATTCTCTCTACCGACGGATAATGTCCATGAATGTCAAACCCGAAAACTCGCCAGCACGCATCCTGCTCACATATATACCTACAGTCTAGATACTCTTTGACCTCGTTGATAGTTTTGGTCTGTTCATCATAAGGAGCAGACTCGCCATTTCTCACTCTCTGTATGTAAACCTTGCCACGATTAGGACCCTTATTCACGTATTTGAACAGGTATTTTATGAATTCCCTTGTTACACCATTCTACATTGATATGGGCCTGATATTTTTAAGCAAATGCATGTTGTACGGCACCACCCAACCGCTATCTAACCGAACATTGCCTTTTTCTATGTATCTGCCATTATCGGATCTTTTATATCCAGCAAAGCCATTTTCATCTACCACAGTCTCACTTTGATATGCCTTGGGAAATCTTTTGGAACACTTACCCTTTTTCATACATGGGCAGCTTTGGTGTGCTGGTCCACATGGACCATGCATCATATGTTCAGCGACTAATGCATAGCCGAGAGGGTCTGTGCATGGGCCAGGAATCTCAGCGCTTATGAACTTATCAATGAATGAAGGGTTTGGTTGTGAGGTGTCTTGACCAAGCCAGATAATGATGTGAGCATGGGGAAGGCCACGCTTTTGGAATTCGACCTTGTGCAGCACTAAACAAGCAAAGAAGGAAGATAAAATCACGCGCATGCAAATGTATCTATACGCCTGCTCGCAGAGCTTGAAGAGCTAGGAAAAAAACACGTACCAGCGCTAACAGGTCCAAAAGTATTTCCACTCTTTATATCGGCAAGAAGCTCTTCAAGCTTCATGTTGTAGACTCTAACCACTATATCTGCTCTATCTGTTGGCTTCTGACCGGGTTCGAAAGCCAATTAATGCAGCAGCAATTTCTGGCCATTTTGGGTTACAGGTCTATTTTCGTCAATACAGGCACGTGCATCTATCTTGGCCTGTGAGTACACCCAAAACGGTCCTACAATCCTACAATTTAAGAACCTGCTCAATTCGGTATGGACTACAAAGGATAGACGGAGTTATCACCTCCCGCTGCTACCAAACAACCAGAGAACAGGGTGTACTCACAAGCAGAGCATCATATAAGCATCATGCTTACACGCAGCTCGGCTACTTAACCCAACCATGGTAAACTAGCGGGCTAAGCACTCTATGAACCCGCACACAAAAATAATGATAACCTCAACTAAGCAAGATACATATTAAAAGTAAGCATAGCCATGTAGATAGGAATATAATGAATTGATAATAAGTCTTATAAGATGTAGAAGTGAAGATATAAGGCTTTGACGAGCCTCCAAGACTAGATCCAGAACTTGAGCATGAGCTCAACTCAACCCTCACTCTCGAGCTACTAATCTACTATATTGAAGAGTCTAGACCTAATCCTCCTGGTGTATCTTGATCTCTGAATGAGAGATATGAATTAGGGTTTAAGGGATGACTCTAGAGAGGGGGTAGGGGCTGCTATATATAGGCCGAGGTGGAGTAGGGGGTAAAGAATCAAGGGGGAGTAGGGGGCAAAGAATCGTCACGTCATCGATCCACGTCAACTCCCCCGATCACCATTGGATGAACCGACCTAAAACTGCCTTAAAAGCAATGGTGTATATCGTAGGAGGAGTACAAGGCGACAAAGGGCGAGAGGGCTCCGTGGTAGGCCGGACGGCCTCCCTAGTAGGCCGGCCGGGCCGGCCGGCCCACTATTGTGGCCATTTGGCTCAAGCTTCGACGTTGTGTCCTATGGAACCTTATAGAGTTGTCTTTCGCAGTTTTCACGGGTTGAATCATTTGTTATCGTCGGTTTGCTTGTTTGGAGTGTATGACAGTGATCCCGGGAGCTATTTTCTGGATAAATCCTCCTGCATACAAATATGTACCAAAACTTGTGGAATCTATTAGTTTAAACCCCTATACCTATGTTTGGTGATGGAATTAAGTATAAATGTAGGTTATGATAACGGTTTATAATTGGTATTTAATAACCGTCAACACGTATATTTTTCATGAAACGTCGACACCCAGCATCACCGTCAAATCTGGCCTTAGAATGGAGCGGTTCAGGCGGGTCTCTAAAAGGAGGTATGACAACCTTGCCACCCTTACAGCATTTAATATAAACAATCTTGTGCTCCCTGACATTCGACTCACCTTTAGCACACTCGCCCAGCCAGAACATAGCATGGCAATGTCTGCACTCATAGTCCGGTGTACCGTAGTAGGAGCGACCAGGATAGGAAGCTAGACACCAGGAAACAGCTGGAACAAGCAGGAGTAAAATGAACAAACACAGAATGAGAGCACAGTTAGCAAACTAAACTGGCACTAAACCGTACACTTTTGTTTTTGGGCATGTGATGCGTAAACCGACCAAAGCAAACAAACCTTTTAGTGAGTCGATGTACTCCTGTGTGAAGCGACCACAGCCCACGGATGCACTACGGCCAGGAAAGGATCCTAACATACAACGCACAAGCATAAGAAAAGGACAGCATCATTCTGTGGCTTTTAGCAGTTAAACAGGCATCACCTCTTCTGGCCATCTCGGCTAAGTAAGCAGCGCCTCTCTTGGCCATCTTTCGTTGATCCAGGTATTTCTTTCGTCTACGATGACACTCAGCAGGTTCTACGATGACACTAGCTCAATCTTTAATCTCGTTGTTCGTGTGTCTTACGCGGTGAGAACAATCATTGATACTGTGATGCGTTTGATAGGATTTTTTCGATTCTCGCGGTGGGGCGGCCTCTAATCGAAGAAAAAAAAAACACCTAGGTTTGCTACTATCAATTTTTTTTGTTAAATAAAATGTCACTAGTTGATTATTTTTTTTGTTAACACAAATGTCAAGAACTCTCTTATGTGTTTGAGAAAAAGTTGTTGCAATGACTCCTGCATTCTAATGAATCATGTTACTCCATGTGTTTGCGTTACCATTGCAGAATTCGCATTCGCCTCCATGACTGGCAAAGCTCCATGGCTTTTTGGGCCAAATTTGCCCTTGTCAGGTCAAATACGGTATGCAAAGGGCCAAATTCGCCCTTATCGGGTGAAAAAGCACCTGCCTAATCAATACTCTAATCTTGCTTGCTTCTGTGCCCTAGAATTGATAGTTCGTCATGCAAAGCGTACACCCTTGCAAAAATGTTAGAGCACCCTAGAAGCGTTGGTTCGTCCCGGCAACAGGCGTTGACATGCCAGCAAGTCAGCAACCTTGGCAACTCCTGCGTTCGGCACATGCAAACCTCACATCAACACACAAGTGCATTCAGACTTGCTCATCAGACAACAGCGGAACAGCAGTTTACACTCGATGCATCGAGTCATCACGGTTCACGGATCAGACACTTTAACACTGACTTCCACAAAAGCTGGAAACACAAAGAATTCAAGGCAACATACCATTGATCCATCAAACAAAAAGCTATTGAGGCCAGGTAACTTATAATAGGCAAACCATAGTACCCAACTAATACTCAAAATCTCTGAAATGTTTCAGCCACATGAGATGCCCATCACAAACATAACATTAGCAAACTCTTGACAAAGATGAAAACTGTCCTAAAGAAGACGAGCTCCTCATACAGAGAGGGCAGACAAAGGAGTACACCTCTTCCCCATCCTTAGGTATTGGTTGCCCTGGTGTAGATCTGCTGGCTTGAGTGGACCGAGACCATCCGGATGAGGCCACGCGCCATCAGGTCCTTGATGGCCCTCCGAGCCAGGGAGCCATTGATCTGCGAGTCAATGGGGCAACATTCAGTTATGTAGTGACAGTGAAGATATTACAAAACAATGGCATTTAAAGGTATAGATAGGATTTGATTCTCTCAACAGACTGCACAGAAGACATACTATGATGATCATGCTAAATGATTGCCGGAGCACACTGAATGTGTATCTCTGGTAGGAATTAAACAAAATAGTTTGATGTTACAAGGACGGATAAGGATCTCACTTATTCAAGATAAAGATTGTTGCAACAGCAACTGCCAATTCGAATTACCATTCCAAAAAGAATGACCAAATGTCTAGCATACATACTACTAAGGGTACACATGCATAAATGAACTGGTGAACATTGAAGATATCAATAAAACAACAGTGGCTTGCACAAAATGCATGTACTACATCATCTTGTCTAGTAGTTACAATTCGCCTCTACAGGTACCACTGAATAAGCGTAATCCACCACAGTACCAAAATGACATGGGCAACAAAAGTAGTCCAATTCATTGGCAAGTTTATGAAGCACCTATCATCTTAGTAATATGTGTTAGCCTCAGCAACTGGCAATCAGATTATAGCATTAAGGATATACAGGACACCACAACGATGACTAGCTCAAACAAGCACACCAGTGATAGCTGACATTGTTGACAACATGACCAGTTTACAATCTAATCTTAATTGGCAGCAAATAAACCACTGGAGCCACGAAGCTGGCCATCAGATGGATCTTCAATGCATTAACCTTGAACAAGTATGATGGCATTTCAGATAATCTACAATCATAGCAATTTAATTTAATCATCGTTGCGGCTGTGCACAGGGTTTGGACGCAAGCAACACAGATCTGGAACGAGTGATTACCCTCAGACGCTCGGAGAGGACGGAAGGGGTGATCTGCTTGTACTTGGGCACCTCAGAGAGCAGCTTGTCGTAGGTAGCCTGGTCGAACAGCACCGCGTTGTTCACCTTCTCCTTTTGCTTTCCCTTGCTCCACTTCTGCAAAACCAACATGAACTTCTAACCGTGAGAACCCGAGAAGCTGTGCTTCCACCAAATCGAAGAGACGGACGATTCGGAGAGAAAGGGTCACCTTCTTCTTCTGCTTGCCACCGCCGGACTTGGCTGGCTTCGACGACGGCGGCGGGGCCTTGTCCTTCTTCGGGGCCTGCAAGGAGATGCACGAGGAGGTTAGCGCGACACCAGGAAGTTGCGTCCAATTGCCGCTGGAGGAGAGAGTGAGCGCACCATCTCGGTTGGGGCGGCGGCGCGGCGACGGCGGCGCGAGGGAAGGGAGCGAAGGGGAGGAGTCTGCGGCGCCGGCGCTAGCTAGGGTTTGGTGGAGTGAGATAGGACGGTATTATACAGCGAGCCCGGTGCACCGAAAATGAGGCCCATGGAACGGCCCAATAGATGACCCGTCTACTCCGCTCGCTAGGCAGGAGATTCTGAAAAGAGGTACATTTTATCTCGTCGAAATATCACCGTAGTCTATGATTTTCCTCCATAAAGTGAGATATCTTATTATCTTCTTTTTTTGCGGGAAGATATCTTATTATCCTTTGAAACTCTTAAATAAATTATTAAAATTATTTCCTTGCCCTGGTTTAGAGTGGTTTTGAAGGCGGATTCATCCTTTTATTTATAAAAATCCATAAATACTTGATAATATTTTTAACCACAAAAAAATGACTCTAAGCTTCTAAAAAATTAAAAAAACAGAAAGATACATTAGGACATAAAAATCAAATAAAATACTTAGAACTCATGAAAATATATCTAGAAGTTTCAGAAAAAAGACTTATCTCTAGAAAATGAGAAGATATCCAAGAAAATATGAAAACCCCAAAAACATTCTAATTTGTGTTTAAACTTGTTTTCAAAACTTTCAACAACAAAAATATGAGATGTATCCAACATGAATACAACATACATTAATGTTGATGTATTCATGTTGGTTGTGTCTTATGTTTTTCTTGTCAAAAGTTTTTGAAGTATGATTAGACATCAATTAGAATGTTTTCACAATTTTCTAGATATTCTAGATATTTTTCCATTTTTACATAGTGAAGTCTATTTTTTGAAATATTTTAGAGATATTTCCACAAGCTCTAAATCTTTTATTTGGATTTGTCATATCCCAATCTATGTCTAAGATTGTCAAATTTTAGGAGTTTAGAGGCATTTTGTGATTTTAAAAAAACATATCAAGTCGGGATCTCAGGCCGACCGGGGTGTATGCGCCATGTGGGGGCTGGGCGAACGTGGGAAAGCTCCCGGATGGTGGCGGACCTCCAGAGTTGAGCAGGGGAGGAGGAAGATGTGTGCTCTAGTATTTGGGTGACCGAGTAGGGGGCCAACAAGAATGAGCGGTGGGAGCAGGAAAATAGGAGGTCAACAAATCTGAGCGTCTAGTAAGAGGTCTATTGGAATTGATTTTTTGACCTCCACTACCCAAATTAGGGATATGAGGTTATTTTAGGTAGTGTTGCTGGAGATGCTCTTATATGAACGTGTTTGGGACCATGGTGTGGCATTTTTTTGGCCTGCACTACCCAGGTTGGGGATAGGAGGTCATTTTATGTAGTGTTGCTGGAGATGCTCTTATATGAGCGTGCTTAGGACCATGGTGCGGCGGCCGCACGGTGCGGTGTCACAACCGTGGTCACCAGCCTGCGGCTTGAAAAATGTGGACGCTAGTTCATTCCTGCGGTTTATGTGTCTTGCACATCGATACTAGGATGCCTTTGAATTGATTTTTTTTATTCTCATGGTAGGGCGACCGGTAATCAACGTGCCCTAGATTTGCTACTTAGGCTGCGTTCGGCTGACACGAAAATCACTGTAGCGACTAAAAAATTTACTGTTTACGGATGAATTTGTGAACACTGTCCCGGATGAAAAAAGAAGCGGATCCAGCCGGGTATGGTGTCAGCCGAACGCAGCCTTAATTATTTACTAGCAGACATGCCCGTACTTTGCAACAGCAGAAACAAAGTTATTAAAAGAAAGAAGAACAAGGAATGCTCTCCTTATTTCTCTCTACATTGTAATTCAATTCTAATCCTTCATATAAGTACCACTCAAAAAAATAATCTTTCATATAAGTCAGCTAGGAGTTTGTTGCCGACATGTTAGGGATTAGTTTGTCCATAGATGATTATGAGGGAGATCTATCTCTGACTTTCCATGTTGTGTCCCTCTATGAGAATTGCATGGGTACATGCATATTGCTTGGGAGTATATTTATTTATACCAATCTGGATAACAAACCGCTCAAGATCTTAGTTTACGGTTTGATCCATGAACTGAAAAAAGCTTAAATATGATTGATGGTTTTGTTTGCAATAGTGGTGTGAAGTATGAACGCTCCTTCTTTAGGAAGTGGTAATGGTTAGAAGGGCTATATTGTTGTCCTTTTTTTTACTTTGTTTTTCATATTTATATTTATATACAGTAAACGTGTTCGTACGTTACAACGGAATACATGTTAGAGTCGGACTCCGTACCTTTGCTGGACACGAACACTAGTTGTTGATTTGTTCTAACTCGTATAAACATGCATTTTGAGAATGAGTCACATGCAGGATACCGGACGTGAGGGTACTTTTGAGAAGTAAAAAAGTATATCGAAAGAAACGATTTGATCTTTAAAATTATATAATATGTATTATTGAAAAAATATGTCCGCAACAAGTGAAATCTATATGGATATGTATTATCACGCTACAATATACCCCGGCATTAGTAAACACAACTTTTTTTTTACGTGACCAAGCCAACTCGCCACTTTACTGGTCTCATGTAGATATTCAAATTCAAAGTCTATTCAACTTTGGGATTACGCCACTCAGTTAAGTTTCTAGATCACAAAAACAGGACTTCTACATAAAAACAGGACTTCCCGCTTATGAGTCCGGGTCACATAAACGACCTAATAAGTTTTAGAATCGGACTCCGTATCACGTTAGATAAGAGTTATTCTAACTCGTATGAGCACGAGTTATATATAGGTCCAGACGGAAGAAACTCTCCATTATCCGGTAGTTATAGTTAGACGGAAAAAAATGGACGGACCAAAAAATATGCTGAAATTTTACCTCTTTATTATTAGGTATAGATTGTTAACATAATGTTATGAACTCTCTTATGTGTTTGAGAAAAAAAATTATTGCAATGACTTCTACATTCTAATGAACCAAACAAGTTGTTACTCCATGCTTTGCGTTACAGTTGCACTAGTGTAGTGGCCGTGCTAACGGCACGGCAGCATTTCAGGGATGCACACGACAACAACTAAACAACTATATTTTTTTTCCAAGAAACAACCAAAGTGGTAGGAAGCTGAGTAAAGCACCAATTTTTTTCATGTAAAAGAAAAATTACAAGGTTGCAATTGAACAATTATGACAGCTTTCCTGACATCACGAACCATTAGTTCTTTATGGCATGATGGATGACTTCAGAGTAGAATAACAGAAAACATCACAGACATACAAATGCACATGTCTCAAGAACACGTCAAAACTACACTAAACATTTGACGATTTTTTTGATAATTCCTAGCAACTATTTCAACCTTCAACATTGTCTCCCTGGTAGCTCAGATGTCTTCCGTCGATTCTGTCGATGGAGACAATGACCAAGCTTATTTGTTGTCACTTGTCTACTGTATGGTTCTTGGAGCTGCAGGCAAATGGACATAGTTCAGAACCATACAAAAAGTATTATAGCTACATGAAACAATTCACCAAATTACATATTCCAAACCGAAGTTTCAGATTCAGGCACGAAAACAGGAACTGTTAGCTGCAATATATAATCATCTGATTATTCTGTTATTTTTGTGCTCTGTTATCAGCCAAGAGAAATGATCTATGCATACAAGCTGCAATCCGTTTGCGGCCAGGATACAGTTGCACCTAATAGTGAATACTTTGCCTAACTTCATGTCTCATTTCTGCAATATAAATACAGGATAGATCCGAAAGGAAACAAATCATACCCCTAAATTAATGAGCCTACAGTATCATAACAATTGGCTTACTAAAACAGAGTATCACCACAATTTCATTTAATACAGTATAGTTTTTCTTCTACCAAAAAAGTGCTTTTGTCTATAGCATAGAAATTGTATTTACTGTGATCTCATAGAAAAGCAAGGTATGACCATACCTTTGGTTTTATCAGTAATCCCAACTTTGCTTCAAACCTCCAAGGAAGAAAAATAATAAATGTGTATGCTCTACCTAGCAAGTTGAAAGTGGAACAATTGCTACCTCCACAATGTATGCCTAGGCTCACATGACACGAGCAGCTAACAGAGGGATAATCGTTACACTTCGATTTTTTAAAAATACAGGGTGGCATATAACAGAGGGGCATTTAAAAAAGCACACCAGCCCCAAAAGATCATCCAGAACGATATACATGTATCCAAAGCGACTTAGACCAAAAGATAGCCGCAAGTGAAAAAGTTTAGTCGGCCGTGTGGATTTATTTCTAGAATCTTTGCTCCTCTCATAGGATTTGCAATATTTCTAGATCCTTCATTCTTCTTCTGTATCCGACAGAAGATCAGTTTGTTAATCAGATAGCAATGGGCATTTTGGAGCTTCATCTCACCTCTGATGGAGTAGGATGGTGTCATTGGTAGCATCATGGCCTGTTGCCCATCGGTAATCAACACAACCTACATCATTTCCAAACTAAATTTGAGCTCCGCCAGTTTGCAAGTTTCAAAGTTATAAAATTGTTTGCACTGACATTTATGCAGATATTCATAAGGTTGCAATACCAAAGAGCTTGTAAAAAGCAGTCACCCTCTTACATTATTTGGGTTGCTGACAGAATTTTCATGCATCATATTATTGGCCGTCAGAACAGTGACTCTTGATCCCTTTGCATTGACACCAACTTCAAGTCAAGTCACATGTATTATGAGCTTCACAGCATGAGATCCGAAGTTACTATCTGCAAAGGTTTTTGTGGTCATTTGAAATATTCCAGCACAGCACAGCAAGGAGTTCCATACTATTGCCAAGAGTTGATGACTTCACGTCCAGGAGCCACCTGATTATCATGTTTTCAGATTTCACTACAAGTCTACAAGTGTTAACCAATAAAAAAGGTAGGTTAAATAGAGCAATAATATCCTGTGACCATGGCATGTAACTGGCCATCTTGATAGCATCATTGCAAAGAAGCAAGTTCCATAGAATTTTGGGAGAGAGCAAGGAAGCCAATTAGAC